AGGTGAGAAGCACCAGGTGACCAAGAGGGTGTGGTAGTTCCTTCGTTGGTGTTGGGGCCAGTTGGGGTTCTCATCGGTGGACAAGCCTAGGAACTTACCAGGCAAGGAAATCTGTGCTCCCTGGATGGATGTGCACTTAGGATTCCTACTTTCTCCTGCCAGGTCCTCCTCTCTGAACACCTCCTTTACGCGGCACCTCCCTGTTCACTACAATACCTTGCACTCCCACCAATGGCGCGTACACCTTCTCCCTCCTTGTGCAGCACCTGTACCTGCCCTGGGCCAGGCATGTGGGGCCAGAGCCTCTTGTAACTGTCACATCAAGGATGGGCAGTACTGTCCCCATTTTACAGATAGGAAAACTGAGGCTTAGGAAGGCTGCATAACTTGCCCAGGCCACACGCCTAAGAAATAAGAGAAGCGAAAGCCAAGCCTAGGTCTCCCTGACTGGGAAGCCCCATGCTTTCTCCAACACCACACTCCCTCTAGGGCGGAGCAGGTGTGAGGGCTGTCCTCCAGAACCCATTTCATCCATGCCTCTGCCTCTGGTGGAGAGCCTGGACTGGGCCAGCCCATGCACTTCCCAGTAGGGCTGGCAGCCACAGGTGGGTGGGGCAGCTGAACGTGTCCTGCTGGCCCAGGCTTGAGCTGTGCTGGATAATGAGAGCAGTTACTGTCATCAAGGAAGCTTACAGCGCTGGATTTGCAAAGGAGATGCTGGCCAACTGCCTGGGAGGCCAGCGAGGAAGGCTGTAATTTGGGTGGAGTGAGGCGGGTTTCCCTAGTAGGAAAGGCAGTGGGCGGACCTGTTACTTTAAATAATGTTGCCTGCAAGCTAGAAATAGGTCTCCCGGGAGGGGAGCATCAGAGAAAGACACCGAGGGAGAGGGAGGCAGGAGGAGCAAGAGAGGGGCTGCATCCCAACCGCAGTCACTGAGCAGGCCACGGGAGGCCTGGAACCACCTTTCCTTCATGGGTATCCAGGGGAGCGGACAGGCCGTAGCCCCAGGTGGGCCTGGGGTTTCCTGGCTGAGGCAGATGGAGTCTTCTGCAGAAATCTACATTTATTAAAACCTTAAATTTCACCTGACATCAGCAAACAAATCCAGGTCCAACAAGTCCCAGGTGCCTTTTTTATAATGTATACTTAAATTCTATGCACAAAGTGCATCTTTTATTTTATTTTTAAAATAAAAGCAATATATGCATACGATAAAGGAAATTCTAATGGCATAGAAAGACGTAAAATTGAAAAGTAAAAATTTCCCTCCCTCCCCATCCCCGATACTTCTCCCAAAAGGGAGTTAACATGTTCTTGAGTATCCATCTCAAAAAACTTTTATGCATATACCACTATGTGTGTGTGTGTATTATTTTCCATTTCAATTTACCCAAATGGTATCATATCATTTACACTACTCCTTGACCTTTTTTTTTTTTTTTTTTACAACCAACTCAAATTATCTTTATTGGGTCAGTTGGCATGGTCCTAAACATTAAACTAAGAGTTCGTAGCCTGTATCAGTAAAAAGCAACTGCATGTTGCTATGATGCTGAACAGGTTTCAGCAGAGCTTCCAGACTGAGATAGACTAGGAAGAAAGGCTTGGCGATCTACTTCTGAAATTCAGCCAGTGAAAACCCTATGGATCACAACTGTCCAATCCACAACCAATCATGGAGATGGAGCAGGACCAGACAGCACTTACTTTGGTTGTGCATGGGGTTCCCATGAGTCGGGGGCCAACTCTATGGCCGCTAGCAACACTGGAGCCCTGGTGGTGCAGTGGTTACGAGCTCAGGCTGCCAGCAAAAAGATCAGCAGTTCGAATCTACCAACCACTCTTTGGAAACCCTTATGGGGCAATTCTACTACAAAAATGCATTACCCTCCTTGTCCCTAACAGTCGGCTGTGATGTTGTTGAGCCTTTTGCTTCCTCCTGTTTTTATTCACATAACGCCCGCCCCAGCTTTGACTTTCTTTGTGTATCTCAGAGGTCTTCCATTTCAGCCCTTACAGGTGTTCCTCCCGCCTTCCGTGGCTGCAGCATCATTTATTGATCCAATTCCGTTTAGATGGATATTTAAGTTGCTTCCAGTGTCTCTCGGTTGATTTCTGCTAGTACAAGCAATGCTACAGTGAACATCCTTGTACATATTTTTTGTTAACATTTTTGCAAGCATATCCAAAAGGCCAGCTCCCAGGAGTGCCACCTCTGGGTCAAAGGGCATGCATATTTTAATCTTGATAGATTCTGCCCCCACGGCTGGGCCAATTTATACCTCTACCAACAGAGCCCAGCGCACGCCTTCCCTTCCCCCCACTCTTGCCGGCCCTGGGTCCGATCACAGCTGTAAATCTCTGGCAGTCTGATATGTGAATATTATACCTTGGCATTGTTTTGATCAGAATTTCTTTCATTGTGACAGAGGGTGAGCGTCTTTTCATGAGTTTATTGGCCATTTCTATTTATTTTCTCTCCCCGATGCTTTTTAATATCGGATTCCATTTCCGAGAGTACAGAGTTTTCTGCCCGTCTCTCCTCCCTGGTCACCACACCGCTTTTGAGACCGAAACCGTTTCCCCAAAGTTGACCTTCATCAGGAGAGATGGGGAGAGGGGCAGGCGAGAGGCCGCTGGTGACAGGGTTGAGGATGGGATGAGAGGAGGGAAATTTCCAGAGCTTGGTTGCCTGCTGTCTGCCCATCTCTACTCTCCACACAGTCACACTGGACAGATAAGAATTGCAGCGGGTGGCAGAGATAAGGGGCTCAGGCAGCCAGAGGATATTCTGGAGAAGGCTGTGCAAACTCCGTGCACACCCATGGAGAGTCTGGGGAGAGCGCAATCCCAGAGGGGCAGTGAGGCCCTCTGGGGTCTGATCTCAGGGCTGAACCACTTAACAGCTGGGCTTAGGGTCAGAAAGGCTGTGTGGGGTCCCTGGCTGTGCCTCTTTCTACGTGTGAGACCTCAGGGCATGTGACAAGATATTTCTGAACCTCAGTTTCCTCACCTCCAAAGTAGGGATTCAAATGTTAAAACCAAACCTATTGCCATTGAGTAGACACTGACTCATGGCGACCCCATGTGTTACAGAGTCGAACTGCTCCGCAGAGTTTTCTTGGCTGTAATCTTCATAGAAGCGGATCACCAGGCCTTTCTTCTAAGGAGCCGTTGGGTGCATTTGAACCGCCAACCTTTCAATTAATAGCTGAGTGCAAACTGTGCTACCCAGGGACCTCCATAGAATTAGGGTGCAGATGAAATCAGGGACTCTGGAACGTTGACCCATGACAACATTCTCGCCTGTCCACATAAAATGAGAACAATGAGGACAGTGTAGTGGACTGCTCCTAAATCTGAGTTTAAAATGTGTTCCGATTGCCTGGATGCTGAAGGAATGTTTCCTTTTGGTGATCTCAGAAATGTCCTTTTTAAATGAAGTGCTGACCATTGCTATTTATTTTTCTCTCCTTGGCACTTTTTTTTTTGTTTTTCCTTTTTGGTTGGTTGGTTTTAATGACCTTACTTGGCAAAATAAAAATTTGGCAGTCTTATGTCAATCCTCGTTTTTTTTTTTAAGTTTTACTGGCCCGTGATCTCCAGTAGTCTGGAAACTGCTGTGTGAAATGAAGAGACATATGAAAAATACTTAACACAGTTGCTGATGCATAGATGGTACCCTGGAAGGGATAGCTGTTATTGTTGTCATCGGGACGATGATGATGATGATGATGTAATTGCAGCCCCCTCTCAAAACTCCTATAAAACATAACTGGCAGCTCCTGGGAATTAGGTTGCTCTGTGCCAGGGTTGCCATACCTCGGGGCAGGTGGCGGTGAGCTCGTCCCCTAAGTCAGCAAACCCAGGATACCCAGGGCCCTGGGAGGGACATGCTAGGCACAGCCCCTTGTGCCTCTAAGAGCCCTGCTGGACCATTGCCCAGGGACAGGAAGGGTGACCACATATGGGTGCCAGGGGGATTAGCCCCATCCGCAGCACCTTTCAAATGAGCCCAGGTGGTGAAAACAGTTAAGCACTCAGCTGCTAACCAAAAGGTTGGATGTTCAAACCAACCGGCCCGTCTTGGAGAGAAAGACCTGGCGATCTACTTCCGTAAAGATTACAGCCTAGAAAACCCAATGGGGCAGTTCTACTCCATCACATGGGATTGCTGTGAGTCAGAAGAGACTCCACAGCACCACCAACAGCAAAGAGCACCCACCACTCACCTGGTCTCGCTGCCAGAGGCTCCTCCCACTGACCCCACAGCCTCCCGGCCTCCAGCCAGGTGAACCCCCACCCCCGCACATGCCTGCTTTCCAGCTGCCTGCCCCCCAGCCCCACTTGCTCTGTTGCTCTTTGTGGCAGCAGGCACATGTTCCGGAGCGAGCTTCCAGGGGGCCGCCGAGTCCTGCATCCTGGCCCAAGAGCCACACCCACAGGAAGCCTGCACCTCTTGCTCAGAAGGCCCAGCCTGTTCCTGTCACAGGGCCGCGGGGGAGCTGTTTGTAATTTTAAGGAGGGACTGATGCAGAGCATTTTGGGAAACATGTCAATGTCCCTGCTTCTGTCACCTCCATCAATTTCAATTAATATTTACAACACATTCCTATGCCTGGTCAGAAAAAAAGAGAACATGTCCCCCACCGTTCTCGGTGGTGTGAGTCACAGGCAGGGAGGACAGCAGCCTGCAGCCAACCTGACACAGCCTGGGGAGGCCAAGTCCCTGGGAAGGTCAAGGGGTCAGACACAGCACCTCCCCCCTCTGGGAAGTGCAGGCTACTCCCTGGACAGCTGAGCAAAGGCCCCGTTGCTTTTGGGAGGGATCCTTTATTGAAAAGGGCTTCCTGTGGCCCCACGGCATGGCCAGAGAGTCCAGAGCCCCCTGGTGCTCTTCATTCTGGAACAAGGTGACAGGGCACCCTCTGACCTCAGTCCAACCTCCTGTATCCCTGCAGCTGCTGGCGTGCTCACTGGCTGTCTCCTCTGCCCCCAGGTACATGATCACCAGCCTGGACCGCACCCATGCTGGTTTCTACCGCTGCATCGTTCGGAACCGGATGGGCGCTCTGCTGCAGCGGCAAACCGAGGTCCAGGTGGCCTGTGAGTACCGTGACACCTCGGAGCGGGCGGGCGGGCAGGGCACAGGTCTGCAGGCTGTCATCCACCAGCCCCACTCTGGGCTGCACCAAACCCCAGCCGTGGCCTGCCCTGCTCACTCAGTGCTAAGGGTGGTCCTTCCCGCTTGTCCAGATGAGTACCCTCATTTCATAGTTGATAAAACCAAGGCCCCGAGGAGGCAGGAGCTCTCCAAGGTCACACTGCTGATAAGTGACGTGCACATCTCCTGGCTCTGGGAGCAGAGTTCTTTAAATGGGACAAGCCATTTCATTTCTTAAAAGAGGTCCAGCTGTTTTGATGACCTCCCATGGGGTCCTCCCTACACTTAGGGTCTTCCTAATGGCCAGCCTGAATCTCTCTTGCTACAACACTGTGCTTGGAGACTTCCTGGGGCCCCCATGTCCTCAACTTTTCCCATCCTCCAACTGACTCAGCCCTGGATCACTAACAGCCTGGGGGCCTGTGGTCTTCAGGGGGTATTGGGAGACACCTGAGTGTGCACCATAACTCTAAAAGGGAGAGGGACGGTGACAAGTCGGGGTCCCCAGAGGGGCAGGGTTGGGTAGAGGTAAAGTGGTGAGCTCTTACTGAGTCACTGGGGTTAACAGGCTTCTCCCCAACCCCCAGCAGGGTTCCTCAGATGGAGGAAGGGGTGGACAGTTTCAGAGACTCCAAGGGCGTCTCAGGGACTGGGCCCCAGATGCCAATCAACAACCCCCCCCAGGATTCAAATACCCCCTTCCTGCCCCTTATCCTAAAATGTACCAGAAATTGGGTCTAATTATGAGCAGTCCCATTCTGGGATCCTTTCTGGGGGGTCTAGGATTGTATTGTGGGGCATGAGAGTGTGGAAAGCCTTAGGGAGCCCTGAAATTTAAAAACAAAGGACCCTTCTGTTCCAGAGCCCTCATCTCGCCTCTGGTTTAGCACACGAGGGAGCTGGCTACTCGGAGAGAAGTGGGGGAGAAAGATCTAAAAGAAAATCTCAAGTGAGGCAGAGAGTGTTTATAATAATTACGGAAAACAACCATAATCAAAAGTGGAGGACGGATTGTCCTCATAAATCAGCACCAAAGGCAGCTCGCCGTACTCCAAAGAGCGGAAAAGCCATGAATTAAAATGATGGATGTCAGGTGGCTGTCGGTGCGGACAGGACCCTGTGGAGCTGCATTTAGCCAGTGTGGAGTCCAGCAGGGCCGGGGGAGGGTAGTAGGGGGCCCGCTCAGGTCAGATTCCCATCAGTACAATGTGTCTAAATCAACCTACCTCCTCGGCTTGCCAGGAGCATCCAGTGAGATAAGAGGTGCCAACGCATAGCCAATGCCAGCACGTGGTACACCCCTAATCCATGGGAGTCATTGCTGTGATGAAAAATTATATATGTATGTTTTTTAATAATATTTTATTGAGTTTTTCGTGAAAGTTTAAACAGCAAGTTCGGTTCCCATTTGACAATTTCCACACAAGTTGTTCAGTGACATTAGTTACATTTATCACAATGTGTCAGCATTCTCTTTAATTGTGTTCTGGTTGTTCCGTTTCTGTTACTCTAGTTTCCCTACCCCCTTATCTTCTCATCTTTGCTTCAGAGTAAATGTTGACGTTTTGGTCTCATGCAGATGGCTTTTTAGTAGAGCCCTGTTCTTCTGGGTAATACCCTTTATCTTCTGTGGCACTCTGCTATCTTGCTAAAGGGTGATCTCAGGGGATAGTTTCAGTTCAAGGTTTAAGAACATCTCAGGTCAGTAGTCTCAGGGGGTCCTCTGGTCTCAACTGTTTAGTTAGTCTGGCCTTTTTTAAGAATTTGAGTTTTTCTTCCATTCTGCCTGGGACAGACCACAGAATGGAATGGCCTCGGGCAACTGCTGTCCTGGCCGAATGCAGAGCAGCGAGCCGGGCACCCTCCCCTCACCCCCTGTGCCACCCTGCACCCCCACCCACCCCTGAGCCACCACTTAGAGTGGGATCCCCACCCCGCTCCCCTGCCTCTCAAAGTGGAACCGCCAGAGGCCCGCATGTGACACCCTGGGCTCCAGAAGCCCCCTGGACGCGGTCATAACCACCTTTGTTACCACGTCCCCACTGTGTTACACATGATGCTGTTGCTAAGCTGTGCAAGTGCGGTTCCAGGTCCTGGAAATGGACAAGGGGTGCCTTGAGGGAGCTGAAGGATGAATGGAGTTGGGGACACCCAGGTGAAGCCCTTCCTGACCACCAGCTGCTGCTCCCCTGGCCCGCACAGAGAACCGGCCTCTGATGCCGCTCTGTGTGGCTTTGCAAGTTTTGAAGCTCCTCCTCCCCTGACGTTATAAAGCAGAAACCACTGTTTGAAGCCTTTTAGGTCCTACGGCCAGGGAGTTAGGGAGGCCCTAAAAACTCCCACCTGGCCATTGAGAAACAAGCTCATCCTGACAAGCGGGGCTGAAGGAGGGAACACTCCTCCCTGGCCTGGAAGCCCTGGTCTCCTTCCTTGCTCAGCAAACTCGTCTCATCCCCATCCCCTCTCTCTCACTGTGGAAGCTGAAGAATCCACTGTCCAACCCACTCCCAACCTAACCTTCCAGGGATTCTGGGTGCAGGTGGAGGTGAGACTTGGCAAAACCATTGTCAACCAGGGCAGCACCTATCCCTGCATGTCGTGGTGCCAGACAGCGCACGCCCATGGCCTCTTGGCCTCATCGCAGCCTCCGGAGCAGGACTCCCCATGCCGCTGTGACAGATGAGGACATTGAGGCTCAGCAAGTTTATGTAGCGTGCCGAAGTCACACGGTGAGGGGGTTATCCGGCAGGATTTGAACTCATGACTTGGGGATTCCAAATCGGGCCCCTTACCACATTGCCACTTGAGGGCAAGAAGAGAAAAATGAAAATGGGGTGGTGGGGCGAGGAGGGTAGTGATTACCTGCTGGGGTCACGGTTCAAATCGATCAGAGGGATACCTGGGACTGAAATATTCCACTTCCAGATGGCCTTGCAGATAGGTGCTCGTCCCCACTAGGATGAATGTCATCACTCACCGACACGCATGGAGATGGCCATCCCCTCTTCTCTGCTGTCAGCAGGCGAGCAGAGGAAAATGCCTGCAGAGAGCTCCAGGTTCCTTTGTGTGCGAGTGTCTCAGTCACCTAGTGCTGCTATAACAGAAATACCACAAGCGGATGGCTTTAACAAAGGGTAGCTTATTCTCTCACAGTCCAGTAGGCTACCAGTCCAAATTCAGGGCGTCACTTCCAAGGGAAGGCTTTCTCTGTCGCCTCTGGAGGAAGGTCCATGTCATCAGTCTTCCCTTGGTCTGGGAGCTTCTCTGTGCAGGTACCTCAGGTCCAAAGGACACGCTCTGCTCCTGGCACTGCTGTCTTGGTGGTGTGAGGTTCCCATGTGTCTCTGCTCGCTTCTCTCTTCTATATCTCAAAAGAGATTGGCTTAAGACACTATCGAATCTTGTAGACCTCATCAGTATAACTGCCGCTAATCCATCTTGTTACATCATAGTGATAGAGTTTACAACACATAAGGAAATCACATCAGATCGGAAAATTGTACACAACCATACAGTACTGGGAATCATGACCCAGCCAAGCTGACAGATATTTTTGGGGGACACAGATCAATCCATGACAGTGGGTCATGACCTGGTGCCTTAGAAAGCCCCTATGCCATAGGGCTGGGAGGGGTCAGAAAACATGGATTTTAGCCCAAACCAAGACACTGACTAGCTGAGGACTCCAGGCAGGCCTCTTCCCCTCTCTCGGCCTCAGTTTCCTCATCTGTAACTGAGGGTGGTCTCTGAAATCCACTTCAGTGCTGATGTGTATTTAGTAAGGTTAAAGAAGCTTTCAGAGGCAGGAGGAGAGAAGCCCATCTCCCAAAGAAGCCCAGAGCCAACCCCATGCCCGATACGAGCCCCAGCTGGGCACCTGGGGAGCGGAGGGAGGCAGACGAAGGAAGAATAGCGCCCCCATCTTCCTTGAAAGGCTGAACACACACCCCAAACAATATGGAACAATTGCATCTCGACAGGAGCAGGTCCAAGCCCAGCATCCCATCCGCAGGTGCTAAGTAGACAAAAAACAGCCTCCGGAACAATCCGTCCTCGTTGCAATTGTGTCAGTGACCCTCAGTGGATTCCCAGCACAGCTCTGAAGGAAGGACTCTGAGAGGTCCTGCGAGCTGCACCACCAGGTGGGGAAACTGAGGCTCAGAGAGGCTAGAGGACATCCCCTGGGTCCTGCGAGCCACACCTCCAGGTGGGGAAACCGAGGCTCAGAGAGGTTAGAGGACATCCCCCAGGTCCTGCGAGCCGCACCTCCAGGTGGGGAAATCGAGGCTCAGAGAGGCTAGAAGACATCCCCAAGGTTCCGCAGCCAGCATTTCTACCTTCTTCTTTCTTTGGCCTCACTGCCATGACTTGAATAGGTTATAGCCATGAACCCAGCCATGAACCTCAGCTCCAATCACCTCTTGCTGGCAGTGTGCCCTTGGACAAGTTCCCTAACTTCTCTGTGCCCCGAGTGTAAAGAGGAATGCAGATATTAGGACCTACTTTGTCAGACTGTCGGGAGGAAGGTGAATCAGTGTGCCCAAACCTCACCCAGCCTGCAGGGACGCTGGGCGTCATAGGCTTTCTTCTCGGGAGGTTGGCCAGGGAAGGCATCCTAGAGTGGACATTCCCAGCTTTCCTCATTCGTCCACCTGAACGGGTGCCCCCTCTGCCCTCCAGGGCAGGGGCCCACCGAGGTGCACAACTGAAGGAGGTGACGCTCTCTCAGGTGCTGGCCTTGTGCTTGCACAACTCTGAGAGTGAGTGTGACCCCCTTAAAGTTTGTACTCTTGACCCTCACGCCTCTCACCCTGGAGGTTCCCACCATGCAGCTCTCTCAGGCTTACGCCCTACAAACCTGTGTCTGCTTGCCTGTCTCTCTTACACACACGCACACATGCACACGTGCACACGCGCACACACATACGCACACACGGTTCTG